CTTCCGTATCGAGAGTCCGGCAGCATCCTTCCGTGCATCAGCCGCGCGTGGATGACGGCGCCGACTTGATTTGGGCTGATTTGAGTCCGATTTGAGTGGGGCCGGGTCACGCGAAAAGTCGAATCGATTCCATTCGGTATCGATTCCAGGTCAAATCACGGCAACACTACGGCCACGCCTCGGGTCACGACGTCACAGCCCGCGCGGGTCCGCGATTTGCGCGCTTGAACTTCTCGCTAAGCCGACAACCACAAACCGGCCACATCGGCAGCCTTCCCTGCCCCAAACCACCAAAAGGTATGCCCTACTCGCTAGAACGATATAAAGACCCTATCTGACAGACCGAATCAATCTCTTCTTCTCCCATCACGATGCTCCAGGTCGAACAGACCAGACCCACACCAGTCATCGGAATGCCTCCTCGTCGCGCCCGCCAGCCCACTACAGATGCCGCGCCGGCGGCAAAGCCCGCTCGTGCGAGCAGCCGCACAGCCACCAAGCGCGCGGCGTCGCCCGAGTCATCCCGCACGCCGCCACCTGTCGCCAAACGCTCCCGTGGTGCGGCCAAGAAGAACGAGAACGACGACGTAGCGCCCGCTCCTGCTCCTGCACCTCGCTCTAAGCGCACCCGCGCCACCACTCCCGCAGAGAAGGCCGCACCCAAAGTCAACGGGAAGCCTGCGGAGAAAAAGGAGGTCAAGAAGAAGAGCCCGGTAGAGAAGAAGGAGAAGGTCATGGAGCCGCCGTTCATCGCCATCCCTCAACTCCCCGAGCCCGTCCGGCCTTGTAACCAGATTTTTGTCTGGGGATGTGGCGACTTCGGACAGTTTGGGCTCGGTCCTAATCCTGAGGGAATGGGTGAGAAAGAGAAGCCGAGGAAGCAGGCCTGGGTTGAGAAGAAGATTGAGGAGGACGTGGTCAAGGGAGGTGTGGTGGCTATCGCATCGGGAGGGATGCACAGCCTGTTCACCGACGAGCAAGGGACTGTAAGTTGTCTAATCCACTATATTTCCACACCGTTCAGTGTTGGGAAGTTGGGCGCCAGTTCAGGCGCCGATGACAGCTGTCCTGCACATCACGAAGCGAACAGCTCTTCCACACACGGACATTCCTGTTCCCTTTTCTATCTTACTGCCCTGATCGCTGTCTTCCCTGATGCTGACGACATATTGGCTCACAGGTATTCTCTATGGGTGTCAACGACGATGCTGCCCTCGGCCGCAAAACAGTCGGCGTCCCCAACCCGGACAAACCCGACGAATTCCTCAATTCCGACGTCCTCGGCACCATCCCCGCCAAAGTCGAGCTCCCTGAGGGCTACCAAGCCGTCCAGATCGCCGCAGGCGACAGTATCTCCGCCGCCATCAGCAACACCGGCGAACTGCGTGTCTGGGGTTCCTTCCGCGTATGTACCTGTTCTTCCCACTCCTTGGTCTGCGCACGAAAAGCTAACCTATAACGTGTGTTTACAGGCGAATGAAGGCGCGTTGGGCTTTGCCACGGGCATGCACGCGCAGTTCGTGCCAGCGCACGTCCTCCCAAACGAGAAAATCGTGCAAGTAGCCACAGGCAACAACCACCTCCTCGTCCTAACCTCCGCCGGACACATATACTCCTGGGGCGCGGGCGAACAAGGCCAGCTCGGCCGGCGCGTCGTCGAGCGGCGCAAGATCAACGGCACGAACCCGCAACGCGTTGTCCTCGGCACGCGTGGCCGCCGCGCTGTCCGCATCGGCGCGGGGAACATGCACTCTTTCGCCGTCGATGAGCGTGGCGACGTTTGGGGCTGGGGGCTCAACGGTGCAGGGCAGACGGGCACCGGCGCACGTGGGGCTGGGACGGATGCTGAGGCGATCGTGCAGAACCCTATGCGCGTGCCGGGGCTTAGCCCTGATGAGCTGGGCAACGACGCGCGGGTGGTCGAGATCAGCGGCGGCGATTTGCATACGCTGTTCCTCACTAGTGACGGGCGCGTGTACGCGTGCGGCCGTGCGGACGCCGCGGCGCTCGGGCTGCCGAAGGATCACGAGGCTCTGGCGGACGGTGCAGCATCCGTCAACGAACCTGTGCTCGTGCCGTTCCCGGATGAGAACGACGACGACCCCGTCGTGCATATCAGTGCTGGCACGACTTATAGTGCAGCTGTCACGCAGGAGGGCGCGTTGTATACTTGGGGCGAGGGCAGCCAGAGCGAGCTGGGTCAGGGCGATAAGGAGACGAGCGTCACGCCTGGTGTTGTTGTTAGGCGCGAGGGTGGGAAGTGGGCTGCTACGGCTGTTAGCTGTGGTGGTCAGCATGCGATGGCGCTGCTTCGCCCTAGGGACGCTTAATGTCCTCAGTTCATAACGATGACTCCTTCTTGACTGGGTCTCTCTCCATGAACATCATACCTAATAGCATATACACCTAGTGATACATCCCACCCCATGCGTATGGCCCATATGATTATAATCACTATTCTCTCGCCTCGCTTCATCACATACGTACATACACCATAGCCACATAACCAAACCCCACGCATACGTAGAACCTCGCATATATACATGGCTGCAGAACCACACCGGTTGGACCTCATGATGTTGCAACGGCACTGCCGTTTAGCGAAACTTGAACATGAGCTAGCGCAAGATCGTGCGTGTCCCGTCTCAGCGCATATTGACGTAGGCGTAGTGACCCCCCACTCAGTTTAGCATGCGCGTAGGCGCCTGAGCGCTCATGAGAAGCGTGATGGCTTGCACATGAGCGAGGATCTGCGAGTTTGTGGCCGCATTCGACGTAGCTACGGCCGTCTGTCGATAGATCACGGTCAGCGTCACGCAAGTCTCAAGGGTAAGTATAGTGACTCGCCATATAACTGATTCGCGCATAATCAAGCTGCATCAGAACGTTCTGCAGCCCCTCGCGGTGACGTTTTGCGCTGACGATACGGCTGAAGCAGTTCTTGCGTTGATCGATGATGTCCTCTACATCCTTTCTGAGTTCTGCAACTTCCCTGTAGCAGGCACATCAGACTCTTTGGGGCATCTCGAGCTGGCATCTGAAGCACGTACGAAGCTAGAATCCGGATGGCTTCTTGATGTGCAATTGTGAAAGAGGCGGCGTGTACGTCGTCGTGGCCGAGAGATTTAGCGAGGCTGTCGACATGCCTGTAGATGAGACCAATTTGTCTCTTGTTACTGGACATCAACTTTTCCTCGTCAGTACGTCTACGGTATGGTCAGATAGGTTCGAGAACGCTCACGTCTGCACGGGCTATGAAGAAAGCTAGGGCGCTAGTGACAGTTTTCAGCGGGGGAAATACGTCGGAGGATTGGCCAATGGTGTCTAGAGCGAAGAGGAGCGCGTCTTTGGCTAAGGCGCCATAAACTGTCTGTCTATGCTTCCTATCCGAGGTGGCGACCCATACGCTCGTCGGATCCGGAGTCGTGATCATCCAGGTAAGTCTCGTTAGCTCGGCCTTCTCACATGCCACACGCCTCTCGAGTTCGACTGCGCGCAGATAGTCAGTACATGCATCACTTTCGCTCAGTTGCCACTCACGGTAGCCGCTCGAATGACTATGGATGAAGAGGGTCATTGTGAGAACCGACGCGCGCAGTTGGTTCATGATGTCCGGCACATGTCGAGTCCTGCGATGTGTGTATACCCGTGGTAAGCGCAGGATGATGTCTATCGCCGTCGTCATGGAGGTGATGACAGTGTCGATCTCCGGGTGATACTCCCGCGTGGACAAGCATATCTATTGAGTTATGGTTCAGCTTGGACATAATTCAATGGAGGAAGTCTTGTGAGGTACTCGGCCCGCATTGTAGACATAGTCATGGATTGGAAACCTACAGGCTATATGGATCTGCGCTTTGAAGTGAGCGGACAAGTATCGATAGTGGTGGACGGCGAAAGATAACCTCCGAGGGTACGATGACCTCCATAAATGATGTCAGTTGGCACAGTATAGTGTGCCACGGATTCGCAACCGGGGGCGTAGGAGCACCGAATACTGAGTTTGTTTCGACATCGTGAGAACCCTGAAGTCTGGACCCTGGCTCGGCACGTTCGCTTCTGACATGGGAAGCAACAAGGAAAAGAGTACAACCAATGTCATCCTGTTGCTCCTCGTAAGGCAAAAGCGGGACTATACAGCCAAGTCAGTTGCTTCCACCATTGCCTGCGATAGAGACGAGGGGCACTGCCTACATTCAGCTCTTGAGAGGATGTTCGGAACTGAGATGCAGGTTTCCCGGATCGGATGTTCGCGGTCTTCTGAGCTGAGAAGAATGCAGATGCAACTGAAGTCAAAGCAATCCCTGAACCTGGCATGAGGAGAGCTATCCGATGGGACGGATCAACATACTCACAAGTAGATATCATCGTTCCACTGCACAGTGCCTTGGAGCGCCTTGACGCCCTCTTCAGCAGATGTGCAACGGACTGGGAATGATCCGTGGCGGGATTGTACTATGAACGTGACGAAGTACGAGCGGCGCCTAGGACTCGCGTTGGGGAAGGTCTGGGTCAAAGGCAGTCCTCTGCACCCTTCGACTACATGTCATCATGAACAAAACAGTAGTTCTCGACGACACCATTGTACACACGATGGACGTGAAGCCGAAGGTCTCTTCCCAGACCAGTGGTTGCATCCGCGTCTGCTGGCCAAGGACCGAAAGAAGTGGCGCTAATAGTGCACATAAGCAGAGTGGTCTGAATAGATCAGAGAAGCAACTCACACAGTGTCTGGCATGTTGAGGATCGTATGCGTTGTGAGGCTGGTTGGCGACGATGGCGTCGCGGAGGTGAGTGTCCAAGACAAGGAGAAGTGTCCTAGGGTGGTCTCGTCGTTTACTGTCGAGGCTTTGACACATGTGGGCCGATTGGGCGCCGATCTTTCATTTCACTTACGCCCACTCTCATAGAGATCTGTAAAGCCGCTGCAGCTGCACCATCCGCAGTCCGACTAGCGTCCATGCGGCAACTACATAGCGAGCACTGACCACAGAGTCCATCCCGACTCCGCACCGGTTTAGTACTCGACTTTGGAAGCATCCCGGCACCAGACTCGACGGTTGGCGGCTCCAGTCCCCATCACTGTATTGGAACGAGAGGCCTTACTGTGTCATGTACCATCGTTGGCCAGAACCTGAGCGCTCTATGACTTCAGGGATGCTGATAAGCTAAGCCGCCCGTACTCCCATTTGGCATGCTCCAAGGCTTAACCCTTGGGTTGAGTCTCGACATAGCAACGCTGGTGCATCACAAGGGGCCAGGGAAGGATTGCACGGGTTTCAATTTTGCAACGTCATGTTTTGAAGCATCGGGTATATCCGCGAGTAGAGATCATTAGTGCCAGTTTAAGAGTGTTAGAGCCAATGAGTGCATCGTCGTTGTAGGACAATCCGCGCGAACAAGCGCTTGCCGCAACTCGACGACGTCACCTTCCCACCCTTTAGGGTTAGGGTCACGGTAGATCCACACCGCAACTTGCCACCACCCGCACGACGTCGTCGAGCCGGTGATGACTTTAAGGCAACCAGATACATGGACTCGATAGGTGAGGTAATCTCTCAGAAGAAGCCCGTCGCCGCCAACATACACCATATCCGTTGGGAATGGTACAAGAACGTGTTGAAAGCCCCACTTGAGACCGTGAGTTCTACATGTACAGACATCAGACATACACAGAACTCCCTATTACAAGGACTCAAGTCGCACTACTCCACAAGCTTCTAGGGGGACACAAGCTGAGCTCCTACGCCACGACATTCTGCAAGAAAGGCCAGTCACTGTATCCCTTCGCACCCTGCGTGTAGAAAGTACTCCGATCATACGGCGTAAGCTCCTTCCCTCGCATCCATCGTCCCGGCAGATCCGGATTCGAGGTGAACTGCCGTCCGACCGCAACAAGCACGTTCATCTTTCCACGCTCCGCCTCCTCAATCGCCGTCTCACGAGTGAACCCTCCAGCGAGAAGAAGCGGACGCGGGCCCCATATATCGCGCGCAAAGTCGTTGCTCTCGTCTGTGCCCGGCACGACGTCTTCGTCGCCCGTTGTACGCGGTTCGACGAGATGGATGTATGCGAGACGCGGCTGGTGCTTCGCGAGGTGTTCCATGAGCGCGCCGAATGTCGGGATGGGATCTGGCATGCGCATGCCGAGGATAATTGACCAAGGGCTTAAGCGCAACGCGGTGCTTTCAGGGCCGATGGCGGACGCAATGGCGTCGACAACCTCGCAGGCGAACCGTATGCGGTTCTCTATGCTTCCGCCGTACTCGTCTGTGCGCTGGTTCGACTTGGTCTGTAGGAACTGATCCAGGAGATATCCGTTCGCGGCGTGGATCTCGACACCTGTATACGACAGATCAGGACAAACTTGATCAAAATGTTTGTTGGGAAGGAACGTACCGTCACACCCAGCCTGTATGGCATTCTTCGCCGCTTGCGCGTACAGCTGCGCGTACTCCTTTATCTCCTGCACCGTGAGTGGTCGCGGAGTCTGATGTTCATCGTCCATTGGGATTGCGCTGGGCCCTACAAGATCGTACGGTCCGTCCCTGCGCAGGACCTCAGGAAGCGCTGCTCGCCCATGCGCCCACAGTTGCATGAACAGGAACGACTTCTGAGCGTGTACAGCGTCCGTGACCTAACAGTTCATCAACACCTCGCTACTCGTACGATAGTGAAACGCACGACGTACCTTCTTCCATGCAGCAATCTGCGCGTTGTTCCAGATTCCTGGTACGTTGAAGTAGCCGACAGCCCGCGGCGCGATGGTGGTTGCCTCCGTGATGAGTAGAGTACCGGGCGTGCTGGCGCGTTGAGCGTAGTAGTCGACTGCAATGTCAGACGGCACATAGTCGTCAATGGCACGATAGCGCGTCAGAGGGGCGAGAACGATGCGGTGCTGTAGGTGCATGTTGCCCACTCTGATGGGCGTGAAGAGTGTTGGTGCGAGTTGTGAAGTGGAGGAAGACATGTCGCAATCGCGGGGGACTCATAGTTCAGGCGTAAGGTGTGATATACAGAGCAGGGAGGTGGGGATCTCTGCGTGCGCGTAGCACCCCCTCTGTCATGGCATGGAAGTATCCCCGGTGAGAAGACCGCTTTGCCGTTTGTGTCACGCTTCAAAGGAGCCAGAGAGCCTTGGTAGTGGTTCATGCATCATTCGGTTTGTTCAAAGGACAACACAACATCGAGAATACGGCGAGAGTGATGCACCTGACAAGCACATCGTCGTTACAGAACAAGCCGCACGGACGCGACGACGCGACGCGACGCGCGGATCCCGGGCTTAGGGTTAGGGTTATCCTAGATGCTTGGTGCTGGCGGCCCGGCGTATGTACGCACGTCGTCGTGCAATCCTATATAATTGGACTCAATCAGCAATGCTACTCGGATGAGAGCAGCTCGTCATCACGCTTCAGACAGGATCTGGTTCTGATAGCGCAAGGACATGTTGAACGCCCCGCTCGGAACAGGCTCTAGTAATAGTGGTTACATACAATCAAGAACCCACGGAAATACAGCACTCGACAAAACTTTGCAGGATGTGTGATCTAAGCTTCTACGCTACGACTTCCTGCAAGAATGACCAGTCGTTGTACCCCTTCACACCCTTAGTGTAGAAAGTGCTCCGATCGTAAGGCGTAAGCTTCGCCTCGCGCATCCACCTTTTCGGCAGATCCGGGTTCGACGTATACCACCTTCCCATCGCAACCACCACATTCTTCTCGCCACTCTCAACCTTGACGAGAGCCGTCTCGCGATTGAAACCGCCGGCAAGCATGAGCGGACGCGGGTCCCACAGCTCACGAACGAAGTCGTTGCTCTCGTCCTCGCCGACTGGCTCGGTCTCGCTGCCGCCGCTGATGCGCGGCTCAATGAAATGCAGATACGCGAGCTTCGGCTGGTGCTCTGCAAGGTTTTTGACGAGGGCAGTGAAGGTAGGGATAGGGTCGGGCATCCGCATAGCTTGAGCCGTCGACCAAGGGCTCAATCTCAGCGCGGTGCGCTCAGGGCCGATGGCGGACGCGACGGCATCGACGACTTCTATCGCAAAGCGGATGCGCTTCTCCATGCTTCCGCCGTACTCGTCAGTGCGCTGGTTCGAGTTGGTTTGTATGAACTGGTCGACGAGGTAGCCATTAGCACCGTGGATCTCAACGCCTGCAGCCCTGTCAGTGAAGACGAAGATACACGAGCGGCGCGTCGCGTACCGTCGAAGCCAGCTTGAACAGCGTTCTTAGCCGCTTGAGCAAACAGCTCCAGGTATTGCTTGATCTCTTCGACAGTGAGCGCCTTCGGTATCGCCCGTCCTTCAGCGATGGGAATGGGACTGGGCCCGACTACTTCGTATGGGCCACCGGGAGCTTTCTCCAGTACAGACGGTGAAGCTGGTCTGCCCAGAGCGCCGAGCTGCATGAAGATGAAGCTGCCTTTCCCATGTACAGCGTCCGCGACCTATACAAGTCGAACATCGGAATTTTTTCCCAAAAGAGACATGGCCGACAAGACACACCTTCTTCCATGCAGCGACCTGAGCGTCACTCCATACGCCAGGCATGTTGGCGTAGCCGCTGGCTTGGGCCGCGATGGCTGTTCCTTCCGTGATGAGCAGCGTTCCGGGCGTGCTTGCGCGCTGCTCGTAATGCTCGACCATGATATCGGTCGGCACGTTCTCGTCGTCGGCACGGACGCGAGTGAGAGGAGCGAGCACGACCCTATGGCTAAGTCGCATGTTGCCGACCTTCATCGGCGTGAAAAGGGTAGAGCTTTCAGGAGCTGACATGATGAGGCTGGGTTGATG